GGAAAGAGGGCCAGCCCAGGGAATACTACACTTTGGATTCTATCTTGTTCCTGCTCAATAATGTGCATCTTTCACATCCTGTTTATGTCCGTCGTGCTGCAGTAAGTAGATCATATGAAGTTTTATTTTGTCTTGTTTGTGATAAATAATATGTGCATAGTTATTTTCAGGGAATGATAGTAGCATTTAAGTGTATGAATTTGGCTGGGGAAAGGGAAAAAGATAAGCAACAAAGTGTGTGTATTTAAAAAAGAACACCTCTACATAGGGATCAAATGACAGTCCCTATCAAGGCAGAGTATTTTGCTTGACAATTCGCTTCCCAACAGATTATCCCTTCAAACCACCAGGTTGCATTTACAACAAGAGTCTGTCACCCAAATATTAACAGTAATGGCAGCATTTCTCTTGATGTTTTATGGTCACAGTTGTCTCCAGCACTAACTATTTCAAAAGTACTTTTGTCCATCTGTTCTCTGTTGTGTGATCCCAATCTAGATGATCCTTTAGTGCCTGAGATTGCAAGGATCTACAAAACAGAAAAAAGTATAGCAGAATAGCTTTGGAGTGGACTCAGAAATATGCAATCTAATTTAAAAAATGATTGGACAAGCTCTACGAATAAAGGTGGGGGAACTCTGAAAGAGAAAGTACTTTTAATTTCCATTTGACTGCTTTCTATGAGCCCATGCTTCACCTTCCCCTGTGCCACATGGTTACCTGATACAGCAGTGTTGCGTGTTGTACATGCTTAGAACAACAAAATTGAAATACTCTATTTCTGTGTACCAACATTGACCCCTGGCAGAGAAGCGTGTGTGTGTTAAAAGCTAGTTCTTAATCTTATTTGCAAGTTTGAAGTGAAGGAAGAAAAAGACTGTCCTCCTCCTCAGTTTTGTAGCAGACAGCATGTTTCATTTTGTGTAGCTGAACATCCTCTAGGAAGTAATTGTATTTTTAAGCTTGACAGTTACACTTTCTTGGGAGGCAGGACACGTGTTCCTGTCTTTGTGTGAATGCTCTTTTCAAGAACAGTGAAAAGTCTTCAGCAAGAGGCTTTCTGAGGGAATAACAATTTAATGTCAAGTCTGCTGTCTTTTCAGACTGAAAACATTCCTGTGGTAAGAAGACCTGATAGGAAAGACTTGCTTGCATACCTAAATGGGGAAACATGTAAGTGATGCTTTCTTTTAACTTGGACAAATAGTGCACTTTACTGCTTCATATTTATGGGACAAGTGAGGGGTAGGAGGGGAAAGATCGTTAACGATGGTCAGTTTGCAGCTTAACTGAATATGTTCAAACTTCTCAAATAAAGTTAGGATTTCTTTTATCTTTTAATTTTGTTCTGAACTTAACTGTTTTTATCACGCTTAGATAGGATCTGCATTCCTACATGCCTGTTTAGAAGTGAGCTACTTTTTTATTATTATTAACATCCTTTGGTTAATAGTTATGTGTTAGAATGCTTAGCGTTTATATTTTTTCCTTATCTAGTGCATTGATCTTGATGCAATAAGTGTGTGGGATAAAATTTTCAGTATACTAAAATATATCAAATCACTGCTTTGTCAGTCTGGCAGATTTGCCTGGTATTCCATCATCTTAAAATTTGTGTTAACAATAGTAAGAGAAAAGAGGTTGTTCTGAGAGAAAGATAAATATGGCTTACTTTTGTAAGTTGCTCTGTTTTGTAGGAGGCCTTAGAATTTTAAGTATACTGGAATATGAGATTATTTCTGTAATATGAGCAGTAAACTGTTTTTTATATATATTTTAAAGGGACCAGCAGGTTGTCTTTATTCCAAAAACTAGACAAACTGGCAGATCTTGATTCCAGGTTATAAAGTAATTATCTTTGGGACTCTGTTTTCTTTTATGTGGTATATACAGGTCATAGAATCACTGACTAGTTTATGTTGGAAGGGACCACAGGAGGTCATCTGTTTCAATCCCCTTTTCAAAGACGGGCCAAATGACCCCGAGCAACCTGATCTAAGTTCATATTCAGTCAGGTTCTGAATATCTCCAGTGTTTGACCGCCTTTGCTACCTGATATCTAGTTAGAATTTCCGTTGTTGCAATTTATTTGTTGTCCTTCCTTTTATACTTAAATACTTTTGCAAATGTTTTTGTACTTAAATGAAATGTTGTGTTTTATTACAGCAACCTCCTCAAGTATAGACAGAAGTGCTCCGCTTGAAATCGGTCTTCAACGCTCCACTCAAGGTACAGTTTAACTAAAAAATAACTTTGAGGTTTATTTTATGAAACTCTACTACAATCTTGCATTTTTAATGTCCTCTTTTTCTTGTAGTTAAAAGAGCAGCAGATGAAATATTAGCAGAAGCAAAGAAACCAAGAATAGAGGTAATGACAGTAACTGTCATCAGTACAAATTGGGGGTGGTGGTAAATTACAGTATTTATCTGGTTTTGTAGCAATTCAGTTGGACAACTTATCCTCTGGGTGCACACAGTACTTCTGTTAGTGTGAACATGAACTGGAAGGAGTTAGAATTTAAGCCTCTGATTTTAACTTGGAATTTTAGTTGATAGATGTATGTTGTAGTATGAAAGGCGAAAGCTTGACCATGTGTATCTAAGTACCTGTTGCGTTATAATCTGTCTGCTAAGAGCTATGGGATTGGAATAAAAGTGCTGTTTAATGACTGTTTACAGTTATTTGCCATCCATGAGTTGGCATTATAACTTAAATGCCAGTCTTACCTTTATGGATGGATACTTATTTGTTTTACCTGCTATTTTAGTCTCTTTATAGCAGTATATGAAACTGTCCTTGTGATTACTATTTTCTGAAGCTGTGTCTTAGGTAATTAATTTAACAGTGTGTTTTCATAAGTACCTCTTGAATAGAAGCAATGCGTCTAATTATTACACACATTGTACTACTTAACTCTGCCTGGTTTTAAAAACCAACTTACTGTTTTTCTTGGGGTTTTTTGGTTTTGTGTTTTTTTTTTTTTTTTTTTTTAAATATGTTCATCCAGTTGTCTCCTCTGTGAGTTATTATAAATCTGGCTGTATGTATTTTCAGAGTACTGAAGCTTTAGATTTCTTCTTAGAAGAAGAGTTACCAAAATACATAAATTCCCTTATTTCAGAATTGGATTTGAACATTGTTTGTGCTTAGCTATAACTGCATAAGAATCATAAAAACTTTATGCATTCTTAATGGCACATGAGCATATGATTGCGGTGAGATGACCTATTGGTGATCTATAGATTTTTGTTCTACATTACCCTATGTGGTTGTGATGCCAGTATGTTTGGAAACTATAGATCTTCACCATCATGATTTGGAGAATCAAGAATTCTGCATATGAGCCGAATGAGCTTATGGCCATCTTCTGTTTGTTTTGTTGCTGCTGCGGCAGCTCAGAGTCTGTAAAGTCTGTTTTAAGTTATTCAGTTGTTGTCTCGGTGTAGAGATTCCATGTCTGTCCTGATGCATGGGCATGACTAGTTTTGCTGTTCTTCAGCCTTTCCAAACAGCCTTTCAGCAATAGGATGGGCTTGATGCTGATTTAAGTTTTGTGGGGAAATAAGACAGATTGAACACAAGTGGTACCAGCATTAAGAAGCTGAAAAGATGGCATAACATTACATCTCTCTACTGCTTTCTGAAATTACACGTCTGTCTCAAACCTGGCTTGAGTAACTAGAGGCTTCCTTACTCTTGACTTGTTTTTACATTTACTGGGAATGCCATTTATAAAAGTTCTGCATCAAGATTTAACAGTTCTGAGCAGTTCTTTAAAAATGTTGCTGGTTAAATATCTGGGCAAATTTGAGTGTCTGATGAATTTACCTTAAATATGTATGTGTGTATATGTATTGTCCTACCTAAATGTGTGCATTATTTGCCAGCTTTAAGTTCTCCGACTGATTTTTTTTCTATTGTTCTGAATTGTTGTCTGAGCAAGGCTCTTTACAAGGGGAATGGTAGTTTCCTTTTCATTATTCTAATTATACATTGTGGTTCTTGAGAGGAAATTTCCAATAGCTGTACAGTTAATACTAATGCACAGTTCAAAAATACTTGGAAATAAAGATTGTCCTTGCAAATGTAAAAAAAAAAAATTGAGTAGCTTTAATTCTAGTTGCATTTATTAAAGAAAATGCACAAAAAATTAAACATTACAATTAAACACTACTGTTACTGCTAGGATGAAGAGTGTGTGCGCCTTGACAAGGAGCGGTTGGCAGCTCGGTTGGAAGGGCATAAAGAAGGTATCGTGCAAACAGAGCAGATCAGGTAGGAATACTTCTTTTTCTTATGGATAGTACTTAATTAAAGGACTGATAACAATTCTTGTGCTATTCAAGACACCCAGTTTTACTTCTGTCCAACAGCTCTCAGTAAGTCTCCCTCCCTTAGGTACTATCATCAATAATGCTTGAGGAGGCAGAACTTCATGCCTGGTCAGACTCCTGTTCTTGAGTGGAAGTTCAGATGTCATGGCATGAGATTTGGTTTGTCTTGAGAAGTGAGCAGACAGTTGTTTCTTCCTCTTGCCAAGTCTGCCATTTCTGCTTTCTTCTGCTCTGGTGGTTATCTAAGCAGTCAAATACAATGAGCAGAACTGCAAGGGGAAGCTGATTATCTCTCTGAATTTCAAAGAGAAATATCCTGTATTGAGGAATGGCTTGTATGCAAAAGGAGAAAAACATTGTGAGGACAGATCAAAGGGTAACACAACCTCTGTTTGACTCCCTGCAGAGGTGAGCTTCTTGCCTCTGAAGAGACAGTAGACTGCCAGAGGATAATGCACTGTCATTGCCAGAAGTAGTCATCAGTATTCAAGTGCTTAAAAACTTGCCCATCACCTTTCCTTTTTCTGTTGTATCCATCCAGAATTTTATAGAGAATGACAGCTGGTTTTGAGTCTGACATCATATCTTCCCAAAGCCAGGCAAAAATGAAACTATTGCAAAACCTTGTTGATGCCAAGATCTTGGGCTTAGTAGGATACCAGACTCTAGTAGTTAATTTTCAAATACCTGGGTTCAGAAGTCCTAAAATAAAGGTAGCTGCTTGATTTCTTTAGTGTGTCAGGTGTCATAATGTGAAGTGGGAGTTATGCTTCCTACAGTTCAAGTGTATGAGTATGAATTAATGTACTGCTTTGCACTGGATTTTGCAAATAAGTAGTTTCACTTGCTAGACCAACTGCATTCTTGAGAAATTTATTTCTTGAGCATAAACAATACTGTGAATGCTTGTCTGCCCTTTACTGGGATTAAATTTATCAGTTAGCCTTGCAACAATTAATATAGCGTTTATAGAATCCATAATTACACCTAACCACGTGAATAATACATCTTTTGAATATCTTCTTCTCTCTTTCTTATATAGGTGTACTTAAAAGGACACTATAGGAAAAAAAAAATCTGATTGTCATACCTGACTTAAAATCAGGAAGTCTAAGGATCAAAAAATCAAAGTACACGCATTGTTTTGTATAACGAATAATTTGGATACTAGCTTGAGTGTATCACAACTTTTGTTTTGGAGTTATGAGACAATGCTGCAGTGAGGATTACTGAATTTATTAATAATTACTTTGTATTCTGTATTTACAGATTTTTAATGCTGAATGTAAAAGACTGTCCTTTTAAAAGTACAAATAACATTTACAGGCAGTGAGTTTGAACACTGTGCTTGTCACTGTTGTTACTTTAACAGCAACACAAAAAAGTTCCCTTTCCAATAGCTTAGTTGTAAAAGGAGAA